TAGATTTTTAGTTAATTTACAGGGTTCAATATATTTTTTTATAAGTTGCCCATCAACTACTTGCTATTTTAGTATTCCATTAACTATTCTTGCAATATTTGTTTACAAATAATGCCATTTACACAAAGCTTGTTACAGACTTGCCACTTATGAGTGTACTAATTGCTGCTCTTCTGTCAATAATATTCTGATTTTCAGAATTTTCAATAAACATCACCATTGCAAGCCTTTGCTCTTTTGTAGTTTGTTTGAAAATTTTTTTAGAAGGCATTTTATTTTATTAAATTATCAATACTTCAAAATAAATACATAATATTGAGAAAAATTTTTTAAAAAAAATTTAAGCAATGATTTATAATCATTATTATAATAATATCATATGATATATGTCATCAAAACAAGTTTGCTTATTTTATCTCAGGATAGCTCCTATTTCATTTTCTGGTTTTGAAATTTTAAAACAGAAATAGAACTTTTCAAACTCCCATTTATTTTCAAAATAAGTTAACTCTGAAACTCCTAGTTATTATTTTTTTATTAGTAAAAATGCTATTGAAAAAATCCTACTTATTTTCAATATATGTCACTTATTTGTTAAATTTGAAACCCTAAATTATTTTTGTTGTTGAAGGGTTTATTTTGTTAAATGGGAGACTCTAAACTAAGGATGGCAGAAAAATGATTTTTATTGATTTAAATCAGGTGAAGTTTATGATCTGAATATTTATATGCGACGTTTAAACATATTTAATCATAAACATCACCTGATTTAAATCAATAAAAATCATTATTCTGCCATCTCTACTTTAAACATTCCCATTTCATTTTCCGATTTCAAAATTTTGATACACAAATAAGATTTTTTAAACTCTCACTTATCTCCGAAATACGCTATTTTTTGGGGGGATTTACAGATAAGTGCCCAAAAACGAAAATAATTACAAATAATAAAAATTATTACAGATAAAGATCCGATATTTGAAATAATGGCCCAAATATACCATCAAAATTGCTAGCTGATTTAAACATAATGATATCATGATTAATTGCCTCATTCTGTGATTAAATAGGTGGTTTAGAGTTATCATTCATTATTCAGAAAAAAAAAAAAATTTCCAACCGACCAACCAGATTTCTGAAATCCATGTAATGCAAAGCAAAAAATTAATTTTGTGTGGCCTAATAGCCTTAATTCTCCAAGCTACCATGTATGATGTTTCGGCCTCCACTTCAGAACGAACACGATTTATAATGTCACGAGGTCGATATACTATTATATTTTTTAACTAATGCGTAGTAAACTTTACAGGGTATAATCCACGTGCTTTAAATGCTTCAATAAGTTGGATCATGAGGGATCAGCTTTACTATATGAATGTAGCCATCTTTGCGCTTGTTAGCTGAAATAGTAAAAGATCATGAAGTGGTTTCATTTATAATACAAATAGCCAACGCTTAATGGGTTTGTTCGTTCTGAACTTATAAGAAGAAGAGGATTCGACGAAATAACTGTCCATGACCGAATGAACATTTTCTATATTAGTAATGACATGGTGTTTGTTATAAGCAGGTTTTAAGAAATATATCAAGAATTTCAATGGAATAAATTTACAGCGCAAATAATAGGTTAACGAATCGAATGTACATTTTTTATTGTGCATTTTAATTTCTATTCGAATTACTAATTGATTATTATTACATTTCTTATGCGTTAACATTCATATTCAAATCATCGAAACGGGGCTTAAATCATAGGTTCTTAAGCGTATAATTATTTTTGGCCCTCATTTGTAATAATTTCAAATATCAGGCCTTTATTCTGTAATTATTTTCATTTGGGTCCTTATTTGTAATTATTTTCGCCTTTGGGCCCTTATCTGTAAATTTCCCTTTTTTTTTTTTTTTAATTCTGAAACCCCTATTTTTGCATATTCCATAAGAATATAACCTTTAGTATTATCATCTTTTTATATCGATGTGCCAAGCATTTTAAAGAGGCAAGTCTTTAAGATTGCATTCGGATGATCTTACCTGTAGCAAATTGGACTAGTAAATTGACATTTATGGTCCAACAAACTGATATCGGTCCAATATGGGCCAACAAATTAAGCCAACTCGAATCCTTTACATATTATCCCAGCTTTGATCATAACCACAAAAGCCGTGTCACTATGTCGTCAACCCATGCTATTACGGTGCATTTTTCTTATAGGGCTTCATTCAAGAATTACGTTTACTAAAATAACTGATAAATTTAGTGATTAGAACTTTATACATGCTGTGCCTCAGATCGATTCTTACTTCAGATGTTGATAGAGTTTGGAACCATTAATCAGTTAACTGCTTAGATAAATAAAAAAATGGTTATAAATAAACATTTTTATAAATCACTAAATTATCCGTTTAATCATGTTTTTAATTCTATACGATTAACCGCTAATCAATAAAATAAAGTTCAAAAAAAAAAAAAAATTGTAATATATAATACGTGAAACAGATGCTTAAACGTTGTGCTAATAAATATGCCAAAAATAAAAGTTATAACATTATATAGCATGATATATTATTATCCCTTCGCATTTGCTAATTAATAATTGGGCCAAACCAATTTGATTTGGTGGTTTACATTACCCCCTTTCTCTCTTAGTAAAAAAAATTGCTAATGTCGGGCGGAATTAAGCCAGAAATTGTAAGGATCCGAAAAATTCCGAAGAGAAAATGAACGAACATAAAAGACGAGTAAGGTCAGGCCGATAATTTCCGATTGAAAAATTTACTATGTATACGTTCTATGTTTCTTCCCCTTCCCCCTTTTGAAAAAGGGATGTAGTTGGTCTCGCCTTGTTTTTAAAATATACAATTATATATATATATATTTAACATTAATATGCATATAGTCAGTCGAAACTCTAGCGTTAGGGAATTAACGTATAATGAAAAAAAACAAATATATAAAATATCTGAATGTGTTAATAGGAAGATGTTCGCAGGTTTTGTTACTAAATGATTGTCGCGACTAAAGTTGGAACTGAAGTTGCACCTGACTGAAATTAGCCCCTGAAATTAGATCTGCACGCATTAGCTAGCAGATTTTAGGCAGGTGCCAACTTCAGGTGCCTGAAGTTCCAACTTCAGTCAAGATCATTAATCATAAAATTTATAGTTAAGTGATGCGATTAACGGTTAATAAATTTTTTTGCGGTTACAATCTCTAGATGTCATAATCAGATGGGTGGTTCAATCATCCGCGGTGCCTTTTATACGATCGTTTGGATCCAGTTGATTCGATGTTCCACTAACTTAGAAGCCGTTCTATTGAGTTTAGCTTTTTAGGACTACAAATGCTGATGAAAATCAACGTTTTTTTGATCAAGGTTTTTAATTTCACGTGAGCAAGTTAGACTGTGCTAAGATTATTTCAATTGGTTACAAAAAGGTAATACGGAGTTAATCTTTAGTTCTAATCAATTAAAATTCTTGACCATCCAATGAAACTTGACCTATGACTCTGTGTTCTAGAGTCGATTTAAACAGGTTTTTCGCTTCTTTTTTTCAAGTGGTAATTTCTTTATGCGTGAAATTACGAGATTGCAAAAGTGTCTAAGTCTCCATAAGGGTTGAAACATTCAAAACAATAATCGCAAGCATTATAAATCACACGCTCTGTTTTCTTGGTAATGTGGCGGGATCCATGCATTATTCTACGTAGTTAAACCATACGGAATCCAGAACCATGCAGAAAAAATTTCACACATATTGCATATTGTCTAGACTTAAGTTTCTCTGTTTTTTTCCAAAATTATCCGTAGATTTACATACGGTGTCAAAAATTGCTTAGTGTGAAAATTGCTACCCACGATATATTGGATTAAATGCGTGGAATATTCCAATGGATAATCGAGCAATTTCCAAATCAAAAAAAAATGATGCAATAGAAAAGCATTTAGCCTATAAGGATAAAAATCTAATTTTTAAACGACAAAATTTTAGTTAGTGTTTAAGTATTTTGCAAATCAGCAAATATGTACGTACGTACGTACGTATTATAGTTTTTTTGTCTAGTTAATTAGGAATTGATGTACTGCACACACGTATCATTGTTTCCAAATACGTAATAGCCGTTAGAACAAAGTGATCAATGAAGTTTTTAAATATATGTACGTACGTACGTACGTACCATTATTTAAAAATTTGAAAAATTTATAATTAAAAATTTAAGTCATACTTTTACTATTAGAATTATGTCGATTCCTCAAGACAATGAAGTCGATGATATTGAGGTTGATGATATGGGGCTTTCTAAAAGAGATTCTAAGTATGGAACATGTGTATATTGCAACCAGCATAACACTTCTTATACTTGGTGTCAGACATGTGACCCCCCGAGAGAAACTCAAGGATGGACAAGTGGAGATGAGAGTATTGAAGATTGCATTAAAAAATTTCAACTTAAAACCACACTACATAGGAAAATTCTCGAATGGATTCCTTTTGATAGATTAGAGAATTTTCAAGAAACTGAAGATGGATACTTAGCAACATGGTTAGATGGTATACGAAATATCTCAGGTTCAAGAGGGCAATATGAAAAATCACGTAGACCATCATGCTTAGTGGATCTTAAAACTTTCCCTAATTCTCAAAATTCTTCAGATTTATTAAAAGAAGTACGTTATGATTTTAGCCATTGTCTATTGTATATAATTTTCTTTTGACTAATATATCAATATATCATATTTTAAATACTTTAACAGTTTAAAAAACATATTAAAACAGAAAAAAATGTATACGGACTAACTAAAAACACAATTACGAATAAATATATGCTAGTATTTGATAAATTTAGTAGACATCACAATCGTGGGTATTGTGCAAATTGTAAACGACCTAATACATCAGTTGCATGGTGCCAATCATGTGATCCACAAATGTTGACTCAAGGATGGACGAGTGGAAATAAAGATGTTGACGATTTTATAAAACAATTACAACTTAAAGCTACAACATATCATGATGCGATTGAATGGATTCCTTTTGATAGATTAAGTAATGTTCAAAGAGTTGATAAAGTTAGCGATGAATTTGTGGCAACTTGGTTAGATGGAATAAGAATAACTTTAAGTGGTCTAAAGAACTCGCTAGATCACGTTCATTGCCATGCAGAATAGCTCTTAAAACGTTTCTTGATTCTCAAAACTCACTAGAGTTTTTAAAAGAGGTAAATCAAAGTTTCAACTAATTTATAATACTTTGCTTCGTTTTTTTTTTATTAACATATATTTATCTTTTATAAGGTTAAAACGCAATTAGAAAATAATATGATCAAAGTATATGGACTGACCCAAAACACTATGACTAATGAATATATGTTAGTTTTTGATAAGTTTAGTTCTAAAAGGGATCCGGCATATTTCAAATGTGAAAATTGTTATCGATATAACACTTATTTTGCATGGTGCCAAGCATGTGATCCACTGAAAACAATTCAAGGATGGTCAAGTGGAAATAAGCAAATTGATGATTGTATTAAAGAATTTTCATTAGAAGCTACAAAATACGTTAATGTTGTTGAATGGATTTCTTTTAATAAATTTGATGACATTCAAAAATTTGATGACTATTTATCAGCAACATGGCTAGATGGTGTACGAATAGTTTCAGAAATAAATGGAAAATATGTACAGTCACGTTCATATCCATGCAGAGTAGCACTTAAGACGTTCAAGATATCCAACTCTGACGATTCATTAGACTTTATAAGAGAAGTAAGTCAAAGTTTTGGAACATGTATTTCTTCATCTCTTTTAACGTTTCTAGACCCTTCAAATAATATTTTACATATTATTTGTAACATTATATGTTATTAAGTAATACAGTCAGACCCCTATAAATGCAACTTCCTAAATATAAGCTTATTGAAAGCCCCCTAATTGCATGTCTTCATTTGAGTCCAACTAATATAATACTTATAGATTTTACCTCCCTAAATGCAATACTTCTTTAAATGCATGTTTGACTAAACTTTTACTTATGGTCCTGTCACAATCAATTTAGAGAGGTCTGACTGTATTTGCAAGTGTAGGAATGCCAGTTTTTTCTGTTAAAATTAATCTATTAAACATATATTCCACTTTTATATTCTTTTTTAAGTTTAAAAATCATATACAATTAGAAAATAACCTTAAAGTATATGGATTAACTCAAAACGCTAATGAATACATGTTGGTGTTTGACCAATTT